CCCATTGAGACCCTCTTATTAACCGGGCCTTCTCTATGTATGGGTTCACCCAATGAAATGACCGCTGACCATCATAGTTTGCTTCRTACGGCATCKCAGAGGTCATTGGTTCGATTCYSGTTWATCACCATTTTGATATTCTAAAATATCTAACTACTGCTATATCACTTTTTTAAAAGGAAGAGACCGCGACTTCACAAAATACAATTCCGCTGACCGGCTATCTTACATCACGCCCTACGACTATGAGAGCATAATGCATTATGGTCCTGGTTTTGCATCGAAGAACGGTGAAGACACAATCGTGGCTAAACGATCAGGAGTGAGTATATGAAATAAAGTACGGAGAAARTGTTAGGCTTCTACGCGTTAATTCAACTGTATTCTATTTAATTGATACTACAAAGGCGTTATAAAAAGGAAGTGTACGTAATAGCACGGAGTTTGTTCTCAATTATTTCCCTGGATTTTTCATTTAGCGGGCTTGCTTGTAATATCGAAGCGTCCTCGATGCATGAATTTACCTTCAGTTTGTTGTCTTTTTGCGCTTAAAAAAACTTGAGCATAAGTATGGCCTGACAAATTTACGAGTATATATATTATTAGAGGTAATCGAACGGGTTTTTTTAGGTTACAATGGGTGACTGGAAATACCTAACACAAATKGACGTTATGCAGCTACAAATTCGCTACAATTGTCCAGGTATGAAACAAACATCGTACATGTATGATGTGGCCTGAGTACGAGTCGGAAAACTGTGGACTGAACACTACCGTATTCACTCATGTATAAGCCGCTCTAGTAGAGAGCACCCCGAGAGTTTTTGAGGGAACAAAGATGGAAAATAGCCTTTTTCTCGCTTTGTGATCGCTTCCTGAGGGAAGCTGAGCGCAAGAGCGGTCCAACCTAGCACAAAAACTCCTTCATGGTTCCCTGCGTCATGTCAAAAGCAACAGTTACCTTTGCATCGAATCGAGACGACTTTGAATGAGGGTGCAATGATAGAATCCTCCTGTCATACCTACATACAATCTTTCACAGGTATCTACCATAGATGCAAAGGAACGGGTATACCTTTCAAGATGGCGCGGGGGTAGGAGAATATGGCCTATTGAAGTCGATCCCATAAGGGAACAAGGTCTAAAACAATAAACGGACTGAAAGCAAGCACGGCACGGCGCGCTTAKTAAACCGATATGAACTGAGATAATGAACTGAGATTTTTTATAAAAGAGAAGTTGATATAGTAGATGAGCATACAATCACGCTATACAATATGTGTGAAATTCAAATCAAACTTTCGATAAGAGAGAACTGGTTTAGTTCAACTTCTTATACAATCAATTATCCTTCGTCAACACGATGTGACAACATCATTGTCTTTATTATCATCATTTCTTTTGTAGGAAAATTTGAATTTCATAAAATCGTGTGTGARGACAATGCCGRCAAAATCGAATGTTTTGGTGGCCGTAAAATCAAGATGGTTTATGCTGACTTTGGGAGGCAAAACATGCTGAAATGTTCGTTCTTTCCTTGGACGCTATGCAGTTCAAATCAGATAAGCAAGGTAATGCAATATAATGCATTGTGCATGATTAATGCCCCATCTGCACAAGTCCAGAGATTTTATATCCGAAACAAAAAACAAAAAAGAAAAAAGAAAAGTCAAATCAAAAGAAATAATTTACATTTTTTTCTTTGCCAGATGAGGGCATTGTGTGACGGAAAATCGCGTTGTGATTTCACRGCATCCAGCTCTTTCTTTGGTGGAGATCCATGTCGMTTGGCGTCCAAGTACCTCGAAGTCAAATACAAATGTACACCTTGAACACAAACCCAAATAAAGCAATAATGTAAAGAAGTATTATTTCAGTGTCATCTTGTTTGTTCCATCAATAATATATTAGACATCATATTCAAATGAAATATGTCAAATATATTGCTCAAAAATAAGTKTAAAATGTCGAGTTTAGCTTGTGGACTTTAGGTTCTGTCGTGTAGAAATATTAGAAAATAGCCGACGCAACAAGCATATTAGRATTAATACTGAARGCACTGCAAAAATTGGTTTCCATGAGAAATGCAGCAAGCAWAGAACATACCTCCCAATCATGCATCTTATTGTTCTTCTTTTTTTTATTTAAGCTTTGTACAAATAATGAAAACAATATTTATCTCGTACTTGTATTTCCAAAAAATTACATACTTCTATATTATTATAAAAATGGAAAAACCTCCTTTTTTTTCTTCTCAGAATGATTTTCCAGTGTGGCAACTRGTGTGATTTTTCTTGTTAATTTTTTTCGTTTTCTTTATTTCTCTTTGTAAATTTATTGTTGCTGTATCCATGTGTTGTTTGCATTATCAGAATATTTGAATTATAATATACATGTTAAAAAATTCATTGGTTTAGAGAGGTCAGATCAAGCCTTTTTAAACCCTGGGTCTTCGATTCTASGATCTTCGGAGCTCTCTCGGAAAAATCGCTCGGAAGTTGAGCTCTCACGACTAGTAGTCATCGTGAAACGACCGCAAGAAAATCAGCCATAACAGGCAGGCGAACATGGCATACAGAAAATTCGATAAAACACCTGCCTGAAAGGTATGAACAATAGCTAACAGTCATCCATTGCTAAAACGATGAATGTTTACATACTATTCACTTAGGCGAAAAACACGACCGCCACGATTGTTGCATTCACAGGTAGCCCAAGCACTACACTACACTCGGCTTTTCTCTGAAGGTCTTGTGGGGAAATACGAAAAATTCAATAAAAGTAGGAAATCTTTATAAAATGAATTCAAACTCACACAATATGTTGTTCTTAATTTATTACACATCTATGCGAAGTTTCATGCTGAAACTTCGCATAGATGTGTAATAAATTAAGAACAACATATTGTGTGAGTTTGAATTCATTTTATGAAGATTTCCTACAATTTTTCGTTTTTCCCCACAAGACCTTCAGAGAAAAGCCGACAAGTGTAGTGCTTGGGCTACCTGTGGTTGCATTGTTGCATGGTTGTTCCATAATTAATTAGGTKATATTTTAAAAGTAACACTTTTTTYCMTTGTGTTTATGTTTAAAATAATCAACATTCAGCTCTTAACCATCATACAATTATTAGGTGACAGGGATTCACTTCTCCTCTTTACACCTATTGAAACAGCACGAAAAATAAAAATCCAGCTATATATCCGAGATACATATAAGGTCACTAGGGACCGGCTGTATGAAAGGTTGATAAACTTGTCCACCGGTTACAGTTACCCACTCTATACATCTTGTATCATGTGGACTTATTCGCTGATAAGGATGTATCAGTCCAGTGAATAGCGCTCGTCGCTCGTTGAACAATCCCCTGGTCAATCCCTAATTATCCTTATCTACATTCAGCTCAAACCAATATTATTGCTCTATTTATGTTTTTTAAACATGAAAACGTTCTTGTTTCTAAATCATAAAAAAAGTGAAATTTCCATTTTTTACAATAAAAGCAAACTTCGTCGCGTCAAACACTATTAATTTTTAACAGCTTTAACAAAGGAGAGATCACTCTCTTTTGAAACCCTATAGGACTGCGATCGGCACAAAACTGAGTAATTCGCATTAAAAAATCGGCCAATAGGAGCAGTTTTTGTACTCGCTGTTGAATTCGTTATCGAGTTTTGATTATAAAGCCGGTAAACGTATATGTAATTGATATTAGCTATTCATGAGTATTCCTTAAAGTGCTATTTTAYGCTATTCTGTAAAGCACGGTTTTTACATAACGCACAAATGAGTCCTGAATCTCGTGTGAGGTTTGATGTGTTAACTATAAGAACAGAATTTTGGATTTAAGGTTAGTTTGAATATTCATTCGACATTGATGTTCTTGATATTTAGGCATTTCTCTTGAAAAGATCGGAGAAAAACTGAATATTATGTATTGTTCTTCATAGAGTGCTAAGATCATTTGTTTAATTTGAGTAGTGCACTCGATAAAAGAAATCATAAAGCTTATTTCTTCTATGCGAGTATCAAGAAAGCCATCTTGTCTGTAATGCCAAACTGTTTAATCTATCTGAGTTCCATATTGTGGCTTATATTTTGGCTCTTTCATTTTGAAGTGAGGAGCATTTTAATCATTGGTACATTTAGGTTTGTAGACAATGCCCTCAGACACTTTGAATGTGAAGTGAACAGTATTTTGAACCACTGTCAATTGAAATTTCCATTGGGATTAGCTAGATATCTCATATATTATACACGTGTCTTCATCTTAAAGCATGTCACAAGGTCTTTATTAGGATTTACATAGTATGAAATATTACAAAGACCTGCAGATATCATGCTACACTACTGAAAATGGAATAAGCTAGGTTCATTGTTGAAAAAAAAAACTGACAATCGATTCCATACGATGTGTTACAGGTATATATGAATAATATGCTGTAAACTAGAATTTATATTACAGGTTCGCTAAGAATTTCTACAGTGTGGAAATTTTAATGTTGTTGTTTAACCCTATATCTTTGCCCTGTTAGATTTATTTTACTTTTTTACTAGTATGTAAATCTTTCTTTTAATTTTTGTCGGTCCTCAAGTATCTCGAATGCAATAAGAACTGATTATAGTACCTTTTAAATAAAATGCTGAAAGTTTATTCTTATGCAGCTCGCTATTTCAAATAAGATTATCGAAAAAAAATGTAAATGAAACTATTTTTGCCATGAAAATTGCAAGCCTAAACGTAAATGGCGAACTATAGTATTTGATGTGCAGTCTCTAGAAATATTGTAGCTCCATCACCTGCTCAAAATAACTGCTGCCTCATTCAGCGTGACGGATGAGTACGAATCCAACTCTGCTTAATGCTAAGCCAAAAAGTCCTTTTGACTTTTATAGCAACCATTAACGCCGAATAACACGGCACATTTTCAAGTTGTGCCTACAACCATCGCATGCAACATTGCCGAGTTATCCTTACAAAACGATTACAAATGTATTTAGTCATATGACAATTTCACAATTAATATCATTTGAACCCCGACAGGTTGTAGCCAAGATGTAAAGACGACTTTGGCAGTTTGCATGCTATGGCTACAGGCAAAAGTCGCAGCGTCTAATACGGACTTAATTAGAAAATCATCTTTTGATACTGGTTCTTAGCGACCGATGGCGGAATGGTATTGAAGATTAGTCGTCCATTTTCGATTACCGTGGATCATAGTGCTCTCGTTCATTGTTTATTCCCCTAAATCACTTTATTCAAAAACTCTGGAAACATTGGAAACAGCCTAGGAGTTGGAATGATAATGAAAAACATGGAATGGTAGAATACTCCAATTTCGAGTCCTGGTTTGCTCTGTGYTAGCCTCAGAACGAAGAAACACATTCTTTTGTTTGATTAATAGCCTGAGAAAACGCATGGAATTTGAAAAGAAAGACAATAGAATTGATTTGAAATCTCACCAATTTGTTCTCACAATTGGGAATATTTTGCGCACAAATGAGGCTAACACAGAGCATTGGAGAATTCGAAACCGCTGAAGTATTAAGAAGAAGATTTCAATCGCTATTTAAATCAACGAAATATTCGAATGTTTCAAACAAGAATTTTCCGATTGAAGCAAAAATCATGAAAACCGCTAACGCACAACATCAATTTACAATATATTTCTAATCRATTTTGTAGTACAAGATGTATACAGCTTTTAGGCCAGTCAGGTGTAGCACAACATCAAACCAATTCGTTTTAATTAGGTATCAAGCTGTTTTGGACTACTGTTGTCTGATCTTAGCGATTTCCCATTTTATTAGTTCCACTCGCGGTATTCTTACTGGCTGTTGCTATGGTAATCCGTCAAAGCCACTGGAAACATATAACAGTGTAGGGCGATAAAGCGCAATTATATACCAATTTAATACACTTCGTTCAAACAAACGCAAAATATTAAACTTCAATCATTGATAGGTGACACATACAGCTATTTCCGAAAAATCTTGTCGGGAAAACGGCGATTGTCGCTAGTAGATTGCACGACCGAAAGGGACTGTGGTTACACTGTTTTGATATTATTCTGTACTAAAACAGCGGTCGCTCGCATTGCATCCAGATTCATTATAAATATGTCAAGCCTATTTTTTTTTCCTGCAGCTAAATATAGCAAGGTGATCATCATCATGGCCAGCCCAAACAACGTATCTACATTGACAAAACAATGCCAAGATAACCAGACAGTTTGCATAGACTTAGGTAAGGCTAATTGAACTCGCTATAAAGTTCATTTTTAACTGTGTAATCTCTACTCCCCAACTTGCAACTTAAAGTCAATCCCATTGACTATATCATAATTAGTAGAGGAGAATGGTTTCGGAACCTTTTGTTATTTTTTTTTTCTTTAATCTTTTGTATGTATTTTGAAGTTGAATCAGTCAAGCGTGGACAACCTTTTTCTTACGGACGATGGAAATTGTAAAATGAACATAAACACTGTCTACGAGATTATGAAATGAAATATTTCAATATTGGTTAAAATTTTTTTTGTTCATTTTGAAGAAATAGTCGGAAGAATAATTTTCACTCTGTTAATTCAGATGTGACTACTATGGCTGAAACAATAGTTAAACAAAMAATTGTGCACGTACGGTCACGCATGGAAAAAAATTGCAACACAAATATTACAACAAAAGGTTTCCTAGCCATTCCCCTSTACGGACTATGATTTTTATAGGGGGGTCCAGAGGCCTGCGAAGTTGACTCTGTCACAGTATAGTCGAGCTCTGATCATCGATTTTTTGTATTTTTTATTTCAATCTTACCGATTTCGTTTATTATTAATTTTTCGGAAGCAAAAAGTGGCCAAAATAGTTTTGGTAAGCCCCTGTTTTGGTAAGATAGATTCTTATTGTAACCAACAGATGATCTACGCAAAGAACTGGCTGAAAATGCAGGTGTGATGGTAGTGGTTACCATAGTGATTATAGTCTGGCTTATGGTGTTCTTAGTAGCTCTCAAAAACATGGACAAGCCTCCAAAGAACAAGACAGATGATGAGGACGAAAAGAACACTAAACCAGAAGCAGTCAATGTTTAATGTTGGGTCGAGATGAAATAGCAATTACCAAATTAAGCAGGCGTGAGATCTTTTGAAACGTCGATCAGTGATGAATTTGCTACAGCTGATGAAGTTTTTGATGGCTAAAATGACTGAGATGATGAATTATGATAATGATTAAAACGAGGAGGACCGCCATATTGTTTACGATGTATTGCTGAATAACAAGGACAATGAGATGATGGCAATGAGGACGACGATGATTTCACTTTTTTCTCCAAAGATTTATATTGGATTTTACTAAAGTGACTGCTCCAAGAGTTCTCAAGGACGTGACATATCACTRATATGAACATTTTTGACATTTTTAATTCTTTGAATCGCCACTTTGCTATCTTACAATTAAAATCGTACGTGTTAACTGCCCTGCGATTGTTGCGAGGATGGAAAATCGTCGCGAAGTTGCAGCCAATTTCAAGCATTATGTTCGAAACTCAGGCGATGGTCGCACGACGATCGCCGCGAGAATCGCTCTGCAAAAATCACAAGTGTAAACGAACCTTTAAAGTCTCACGTGAATCCAAGACGCTTTCCGAAGTCTTCTCTTGTTTTAGAAATGATCTCTTGCTGACAGGTGCTTGCTGATTGGCTCATAATCAAAGACGGGAAAGTTTTATAATATACGAAAATTTCCCGTCTTTGATTATGAGCCAATCAGCAAGCACCTGTCAGCAAGAGATCATTAGAAAAATCGCGCAAAGGATGATCGATCTTGGATGCACGTAGACAGTTAAAAGATTAAATTCTCTTTTCTATTAACCAGGGATAGATAATTAACTACTAATAATAGTAGTTGAATTGAGGAAATTATGCTGTGATAGTATCAATTACTAATACTAATAATAATTAATAAAAATTCATGCAGTAAACACTATAGAAAATCATTGCCGTGATCGCATCTTTATTTGAAAGAGAAATTTGTGCTTATTTGCACACGACTTAAATTTAAATTTTATCTTAAAACTAATTTTTTAATTAATTAATATATGCTTAATCTTATGTTGGAATTTGGTAAGCAATATAAGATATYCGTATCCGACCTTTATTGGCTATAAAACTGCTCGCTTGCAGCTCGCAGCAGTTTAAAGGTCTCCCGCTCATATTTTATATATTAATGCCGCGAGGTTTAAACTCCTCTATTGTTTTGATGTCCTTTGACAACAAAATTTCCTGAAGCGGCAGGCACTATCGTGTCACGTGTTCRATTCTCGACCAAAGTGAGCGGAGGAAATCGTTGTTGACTGAGTTCTAAAGTGCTAGAGTCTATGCTTGGCTTCAACATCTTTTTCAATGTCTTCCAGTTCTCCGCATTTCCCTTTAACTTTTCTGTCCTTCGCAAGTTTGTCCATATTTTTTAGCACGACCAGGAAAACTACTATCCATGTTACTATGGCAACTCCCGCCAAAATTACCAGCCTGTTGTGTTTTTCCAGTGTCTGTGAAAAGACTTGTTCTGAAGAGAATTCAATTTAGAAGATATCATTCTTCTTATGAAAAAGAATACATTCGACAAGCCGTTAGGTTAGGTCTAACGCTAGTTTTAAAGTTAGGGTTAGTTTTAGGGTTAGGATTTGGAGTTTATTGTCTTTTTTTTTTGCGTTGCTTTGATAGAATATCACATTGAATTTCACGGAATAACCCAGCGCGAAGAGAAAAGAACGTTTACCTGGGAACGAAAATGCCCATAAGTCGGGAGATGCCGTTAATGTCATATACCAAGCATGGGGCTTTGGTATGGTTAACATTCACATCAGACAGCAAGTGAATTTTGTATTTTTTAACTCGCTCGTTCCGCATCAAAAGATATGTTTTTGCCGTATACCTGTTTCGATTCTCACATACTATTTGAATCCTTTAAACTATTTATGGTGTCTTCGTGGTTTTAACATGACGTTGCGTTGACCAACTACCAGCGGGTAGGACGCCTGATAAATAGGCTGTTCTACATCTCAGAAATTTAAAAATTCTGTCTRCAGAGAATCCGTCCACTAGATCCAAAGTAGTGCTAGGTTTTGTAAAAGGTTGGTGATGCAATTTTCAATCGACAGATCTTTTGAAATTTTTGATATAAAATGCTAACGGCATTTAATAAGTCATTCAGTTAAAAGACAATCGGCAGATTTTCTTCTCGACGCAAGAAGACAAAACAGTTTTATTAAATATCGGTTCGTAGTTTGCCCACGCGACGTCAAATAGAATTGCCAACACGCCGTACGTTAATAGCTCAAATGATTCAAATATTGCAGATGCGAAAATGAGTTGGAGTTATGCACGAATTTTTGATGCGAAGCAARCGAGTTGAAATAGCTTTACATTCATTCTGATATAATATGCTTTGAAAAAAACATGTCTTCATAATTTGATGGACCTCTACTACAAGATCCTTTCAAACTGGAGCTGATTTCCAGAGTTAATGCTTGATCGTGGTATCGCATATTGCATCTAAAGATAAAAAACAGAATCGACCCAATCTACTGGTCTTAATTCTTTCTATTTTGTATTAAAGAGCCATGTTTCAACATTTATAGCTGTATTTTTCGCATTATTTAATTCATGATGATGACATCTTGGAGATGTCTTTAGAAACGTAACTGCGATATCAGATTTATAACTATACCTCACTAACACATCTATATAGACCCTCTATCGCGTGAATATAGTAAGATTTTTACATACAAATTTATACACATTACTTCTATTGAAATAATCATCAACTTCATCAACTTACCAATCTCCGCGTGTGGGGTGGCCTTCGTCGTGTTTAGTCCATTAGTCATTATCTTGAGGTTTCCTAGTGCACGAGTTGGTATAGATTAGATTAAACTTGATAATCAAAATATTAACAAGTGTTTATTGGTGCATTTCTATGCCACACAGCTTGGGAGCTTGCCTAACTTTGCGCACTCTGCTTTATGGTCGGCTATGCTGCTCGTTAAGTCGACACGTCACTTGATGTGTGTAATGGYGCAATTGCRTAATTAAGATTGACTTCAGCAAGAAACTTTCACCGCTTTGTAATGAGCGCTCACACAGATCACTTACGYTTCCAATCAACACTTGCAGACCTTTTAAAAACACTCTTTTAAAAAGGCTTTTAAACGATCTGAGATATTTGTAATCTTTTACAAGAAAGCAAGCATAAAGCGTCTATGTGTSATCTATGTTTAGGCAAACCATATCGCTTGCACTAAGACCGCAAATTTTTGACGATTATGTGTTGCGTCCACTAACGCGTATTCCGAAAATACTCGCTCTGGGCAGTGAAAGTGCTGGAAAAAGGTTATTGTGGAAACATGTGTGGAAGCGAAAATGTTCGTGCAGTAAAAAAATTGCTGATTCAACAGTTTTGGCATCGTGACAAAACTTTCTAGAATCCTCATTTTTCATAGTTCGCCTGCAACATTTCGAAGGGTATTCTTGCTTTTATATCGATTCCAGAAAGACGGCAGTTTGAGCTTACACTATATGTATGTGCCTCTATCTGTCWTGTAGAACATATTTTTAGTTGTCGACTTATTACTGTAAGGTCAACGACCGTGTTTACATTCGACGCAATAAAGTACGGCCATTTCTATAGCGCAACAAACTATGAAAGGGGGCTGTTCCTTTGTTTCTTTTTGTGCCTGCTCGTTCTAATACACTTTCGCTACTAAAAAAATATTTATTTATTATTTTTTAATGCTGAAGGAGTAAAGAAGTCGTTTGCTTGAAACTTATGTCGTCTTTTTGCGATTCATATATAATGTCATAATAAAAATTACGCAAYAACGAAGATCTTCAAAAAAGAGCGAGGTTTTGWGGTTCGTATGGATTTTCTTACCTTCGGAGAATCCTATTGTCGTTGAAATGTTTATCCCACTATATTCACATAGATGTTACGGAAAGATTTTCAGCCATTCTAAGTTGCTACAGTATGCATGCCTTCTTGTATATATATTTTCTTTAAGATAAATTGACTTCTCAGTGTGAAGTTTATCTGGAATTATCAGATTTGGTTAAAAACAGCCACATTTGAAATTGAGGTTCTATTGGTCTCTTTTAATCGAGTACTCGAAACCATCAGACAACTGTTTCTGATGTTTACTGATATAATAACGTGTAATAAGTTGTTTTTAATGATAGGGATTTTATTGGTCTAGCTTAAATACATGGGTGTAACGCTGTCAAAATTGGTTGAATAGTTTCGATAAGGGTTTAGGTAAATTTAGAAAGCTTAAAAATGAATGACCTCATATTTTTGAACAAGGAGACGATTCTGAAAGGATAAAAATGTTTCAATTTAAAATGACTTATACCATGAATTATAAGTATTTTTTTCGACTTCATGTGATGACTAAATTAGTTTATTAAGCAAGATATAAAATACATAAACAATTGGTTTTCTTGATGAGGAAAAAATAAAAAAATAAAAAAATATTATTGTATCGTATCAAAGAATTACGTTTTCTCTAGTTGTTGCTTTGTAACTGCAAAACTTGTTTTCATTTGACGTTCGTGAAAGTCGTTCGTCTTAACACGCCAAAATTTTGTATACTGCAATACAAAATTATAATGATATTACACATTGAGAATAGTTGCCTTTAAAGTATTCTATTTGTATTGACCGAAACGTTTGATATAAAATCGAAGTAAACAAGTAAGAGACAGTGCAATTGTCAAAGTTTAATACTGACTACAACTTCAAATTATTCAATTAAACTAAGTACTGATTTAACTGTCTCGTCTTTTTGACAAAAAATGATTAAAAAAAGGGTTTGCACTAGCTCGCTGGAAAATGTTTCACAGTCGAATGAAAATAATTTATATTCCCAGCACGCTGGCACTATGGACGATAAATCAAGAAGTTCGATTTGGCTAAATAATTCCAACGTTTCTGATCATCAATTAACATCCCATTTTATTGAAATCATTACATGCGAAATTCGACGTATGCAGCACTGATCTTTCAAGTCATTCAAAGCGGAAATAACTTATAATAGAACTTTAATTATCACGCTAAAATGTCATTTTCAAATACTAGCTTGATAAATATGAAAAAGAAATAAAATTTGGAATTGGATTGGACAAATCATCTAAAGTGATAAAGCTGCAAATGTTCAATAATAATGCTCTTTAATTGACTAAGATATGAAGTTTTATATTTTCTTCGCGTTTGTCATGAAAACGAGACTCGCTTGGCATGGAATGCCGTGTTTATCATGAAAACGAGGCTCAGCGGACATACATACCCGTTCAATACATTTCTTTGCAAAACATGCATTATATAAAGAATTTTTATATCATTGATATGAAAAACTTGATGCTAGATTTTTTAAATATTTGGAGTGTTCTAAAATCCAACTAGCGTGACATTCGTCTGAATATAGAACTAAAAATTAGCATTTTCTATGGTGTGAGGCAAATCCCAAATTCTAAAAGGCTTTAACCTTTTAGTCTTCAGAGAATATGCAAATTGCAAGAGGTGGCGTAGCGACAGAATCTCTTTACCCGCTTGTGTTTTTATATCTGATAAAATCTGTTTTAGATATAACAGCGGTTTTCTGAACTCGAAAAAAGAGAATTCGGTGAAGTAATGCAAATTTCTTTTTCATGTATCGCAGGAACATGATTCGTGCGACCTTCTTTAGTCTATAGACGAATACTATGAATAAATTTTTATTGAACTAGTTTTAACGAAGAATTAAGGTTTGTCCGCACCAATGTTGATAAATATTCCAAATTCCAAGCTAAATTTGCAGAAATATGAATTTTCAAAACTATGTATTTTTGCAAGGAAATGTACTGAACGGTCATATATGTCCGGTGAGCCTCGTTTTCATGATAAACATGTGAAACTTGTGCAATATAAGTCCTAATCTTTTAATTTTCGTCAATTTTTTGAAAATTTGAACCTTTATCACTAACGATGGGACCAATTCGACACTTGATTTCATTTTTGGTAAATACCGGGTGTTTTTTGTTTGTTTGTTTGTTTGTTTGTTTTTTACTTGAGTTTTTCGCTCTGCCATATGCGATTTGCACTTACAGGTCACCTTCATGATTTCCAAGACATTTTGGGGTCAAGTTCAGAAGAAAAAAAAATCCGCCATATTTTGACACAAACAATTTTACAATGCATTGCGTATACGGTATATGACGTAAAAGCTTCAGAGGTCTTTTGCAAGATCATCAAGGTAACGGACGTTCATTGAACAAGCTCGAAATAAATGTACGATCAATACATTTTGCTGCCGTATTCAATTATGGATCCACTCGATTCGAATAGACATGCGATGCAAATAGCATAGGATAGGATTAGAACTCGTTTTTTAATGAGGGTGAAACGCAAAAAGAAAAAATCCTAATATAAAATTAGGTAAAACCTAATAGCGCGGAGCTCGCAAAAGATATGCGTGTTGGATAAAGATTAGATGCAAGACACATTGGACAGACTACACATGTTTTGTTAAGACTCATTTATTTATACTAACAAAAAATTGTCTACAGTAAAAGCAATCAGATTAGATTCGGCGTTTGAACCCGGGTTTCTCGAACTTTACATCACAGCAATTTGTACAAGAATATCTTACGCATTTTACCTTGATTCTTGAACCTCCGATAAATAGAAACTCGTTGTTTTACATCATCTGCAAAACTGAATTAGAAAGCAACGCGGAGKCATCCTATGACAAACTCKCCTTAATTATCCGGTTTAGAAATAATCTTACTCCAACGRCATCATATCATACTTATTTCGAACATAMGTTTCATCAATGTATAAAGTCATTTAAGACTGAAATTTTGTTGATTCTTTGTTTTAAAGTCTCTCTCGATCCAGTTCTGCTGTCATGGTCTTGGTTTCAAAATGCCCACACTTCTGGGTGATTGATATGCGACCAGGCCTGCATATGAATTCGCCAAGGTTGTAAGCCAGTGAGCCCGTGCATTTTTGTTAAGCGGTCATATTTGAAAGTGTAAATAAAGGAAAGGGAAAACCCGCAGCTCTCCTTTCACTCAGATAAACAGTACAAGTCGTGTTAAATTTATTTACAGAACTAAAACAAAATGATTATAGAATTAAACCTTTAAGAATTGAATGCTGATATCAAACATAATTACAATTAGCATGCTTTACATTCGCATTAAGAAATGCAGAAAAAGATAAGAAAACTTATTTATATTTATGAAATGTAAATAATTGGGTTTCAGTGTTGGTTTTTGTTATGAACTACATGGTCATGTTTTGTATTTGTTCAAATAAACTCCAATAGAAGCCGATTGTAAAGACTAATAATTGAATGTACTGGTGTTTCTTCTCGTATGGACACGAAATCAGTAGAAGAGGAGGAGGGATAGATGAAGTAAAACAAGTCAGAAGTTATTCTCATATTTGGTTGGCTTAAAAATGATTTTCATTGTGAAGTCAACAATCTTCCAYATCGGACACTTGTGTCAATAACCTCTCCCTAATTTTTATGGCAAAGCTGGTATCTTAATTAATCATATTGCAGCAATCCATAAGTATTACTAATGTCATGAAATAAGCGAAACTTCAAACGATGCGTCAAATTGATTGTTTTTAAAGCATTATCTGTAACTGTCACAATTAATCCATAGAATTATTAATGTAAAATCTATGTTCAAAATATGAGATGTGGACATTTGGAAAAAATATATGGCATTTAAGAGATTATGGTGTAATTTCCCAGCAAGCAAAAGGAATATCAGACATTAAAATGTTCAAAATATGAGATTTGAAAATTTGGAAAACATATATGGTAATCAAAGAGATTAAGGTGTATTTTCCAGCAAGTGGAAGAAATACCAGGCATTAAAATGCCATCCGCTGTTACTACCTCGGACTTTAGTGACAGTTTAATTAGATAGMGGAAGCTGGTAAGCCAATGTCATTTCAGGTGTTACCAAACGGACCTGTAAGCTTATGTCATATTGATATCTTACATATTACAATACGCTTACTGTTCTGCAGGTGTTTACTATGTAACCATGTAAGTCATGATTGTCTAATGTTGTCTTAGGTCACCACCATACAGTTTGTATGTTCAAAGCTGTCAAAATGACATTCAGGACTTTTCTTTTCTTTTTTGTGTGTCTTCTTGGCTTTAAAATAACAACATCTACGCTAGCTCCTGACAACCATGATAAAGTCCTTATTCGTAACTTTTATAAAAGTTCAGAAGGACAGCTTTTCTCGAAACATGGAAGTCTTTTATTGACTCGAACTACCAAAAGTCCAACTGAATGTTGCTTGAAGTGTATACAAAACAAGGAATGTTTGTCTGTGAATATAGTCACCGAGGAGCCGCGGAGACTTCGTTGTGAGCTGCTTAAATGGACAGGAAAAGGCTTTGAAAAATATCTCAAGTCGAAAATCAATTCCAAGTTTATGCAGATAAAGGTTGGTAAAATAGCRYCGGAAAAATTAGCATTATTAGAGGATARCTTTWATGWTTTTAGGCTTTTTGAACSCGAGAAGATATTTGTAAAAAACAWGGCAATTGTTTTCGAGTGTTTGAGGGGAATCTATAACAAAAAAAAATTAAGACTTTTTGGATTTTCTCTTCAAATCCTTGGATGATTGATGGTCAAATTCATTAATATGCTAGTTCTTTTGCCAAAACCTTGACCGTGTGGCCCACACGGCGAATATTCCTTTTTCATCTTTATTGATTTCAAAATTTAAAGTTAAATCTTTTATATTTTTATGTTGAAAATCATCTTAGGTTAGTCTTGAATTAGTCATACTGCACTAAGTTTAAGAATTAAGATTGTAGGGTGTTTTAGCTGATGTTGTCATATTGACATAGTTAGCTTTAATSAGACAAGGAAAATACCCGAGTCTTGGCAATCTGAATGTTGTCGTAATCCAATATTCAGTGTTTAGCACACCTTTTTCCATTTTTTCTTGAATAAAAACGTTAAAGATACCTTAGATACCAATATTAAGAAATGATACATCCGTGCAGTTTATGAATGATAGATATTGGCAGTATAGTGTTGCCAAAAAGATATAAACTTAAATTCATCATTTATTAAACAGTCACACTTGTGGCAAGTTAATTTTTCGTTATCTGAAATAAGTAAGAAATAATATCTGGGAAAGTATTGTTTAAAAAAATCCTCAATTTCAAAATTACAGATTTTAAAATTACAGATCGTGATGTTGTTTGATTTTCTTGTTTGCTTTTCGCTATTGTTATCTTTTTCATGTTTACAGATCTTTTTGATGAAACGCAAACTCTAACAAGATTAACGAAATTAAAAAGTAGATTTCGGCGAAGGTCTGAATAGAACTAGAAAGATTTACAAGTCAATAACGCGATCAATCTTCAAAGTGTGTTGTCTAAAAAAAAGCGGAACTCAATTTCGTCTGTTTTATGATTGCTTCAGGAGCTTTTATAAATGAAACATACTTATTTCAGTATACGATATGAAGACAATGTTTGTTCATTCTCGACGTTTTGACGCCAGCGGCCGTTAGTCGTTTATACTGAAATGTTTTATGAATAGATGTTTTGTGAAAATATTAATTTAGTGACTAAAGGTAGTTCCAGACAAGAAAGAGGCTGCACACAAGCTTTTAGCTGTTATGAATTGAATATTATAAGCGCATTGGAAGCATCCAAAGTTTAAATTTAGAGCGACGGACGTTGAAAAACGCCATGAAAAGACGTGGTGCAATCGACTCAACGGAATTTCTCCTAGAATAGCCAATCAAGCTCACAGCAATGGATTTTGCGGGTTAAARAATAGAAAATTACATTTGGAACAAGAATGATTCCTTTGAAGAATTCAAAGAAATTCCGAAGTTCGATATTTTATTTTCTTCCTTCGGAAATGAATTTTGTAATCATTGATATGTAGTTATCACATTAAAATGAATGCCTGRGTGTATACTGTTTCAAAGAAAGTCCCAAACAATATCTTTTAATCAAATAATCTTTTAATGTTTGTCTTGAGAGAGAAAAATTCTTTTAATGTCCCTCTGTTTCATTATGCAGCCTTTATTCTTTTCCCAGCTGGCATTGCTATTGCTTGTATTGTATGTCTAGCTTTTGTAAGCTACTAATTACATTTTATCATATAATTATCTATGAAATACCTMTATTTCTCMATTWCGTARARTTGATATT